TTAACTACATTTCTTAACAGCAAAGTGTTAGTGTTGCTAGCTTGTAGATAATTTTCTTTCAAAAAACGTATTATTGTTCAATTTTCCCCTATAGCTGTCAGCTGTTTAGAATCACAAGTTGTGATTTCTGATTTGATCAACTTTGAGCTTAAATGTAGCACATATAATTAGCTTCTTTTTCTAAACCGTAGATTTTAGCTTAGCTTGGCACAGCTATTTTTGTGTGGAACAACTCGGCTACATTTCCTGAATAGCTTAATTGTCTAACACTGGAAATCATTCACTTATGAGCCGGGATAGATGAAAAATAACTAGTTTAAATGTAGCATGCTACTTTTGTCATGTGTAATTAGCTAATTTTTCTAAACATTATGGCTGTGTCCGAAATACCCCTACTAGTGCACTATTTTGAGTGGACAGACATTGGTAGTGGGCATTATGAAGTGCACTAATTCAATCCCACAATGCACCTCAAAAATAACTAGCTAATTTTTGCTTAGCTTAGCCTAGCTCATTTTTGAACGTTCCACTTTTTGTTTTTTGATTGGGATGCTTACATGTAGGCAATGGCCATCATCATAAAAGAGGTTATGAAACGGAGCCCATGTCTAAGAATGGAGTACTAATGACTGACATGGTTACGCTCAGTGTTGCCAAGTCCGTGGTTTTCCCGCCGAATTGGGCTACTTTAACACTGTTGCCGCGGGTTGTTTTTCATGTCCGCGGGTTGAACGGACTCCAATAACATGATATTTATCCCCTGGAATGCGAATTTTAGCAGGGGAACCCCACCAAAAAACGTGTATTTTACCATCGGAACGTGATTTTTAACTGAGGACCCCCTCGAAACGCGATTGGGCTAGTTTTGAGTAGCGATTGGGCGGGTTTTCTTGTGAAAATCTGGCAACCCTGGTTACGCTGTGGGCAGTATGTGCTCTTTTCTGTGTATTCTGTGAAAAGGCCTATAGTACATGAGTACACCATGTCCTATTTCTTTAATGAATACTTGGTACAATGGTGTCTTCATTTGCAGCCATTAGATGTGACCTACAGTCATAAGTAATAGGCAGAGGCCGACGTTACATGAAATGTATACATGAAAGAGCAGGATGAGGTATCAAACCCATCTTCGTAGTTAACAAGCGCTGATATTGTCGACAATGTGCTGTGATTATAAACAACCAAATCTCTAGGCAACTAGTCAACATTGCCCAAAACAGCTGTGCAAGCAGAACAACGCTGCAAGATGTTATCATTAGTGGTGTTTGCTAAGGTGGTTGCTCATTATACTTAAGAGTTAGGGATTCCAACAAGCCCCAACCCTAGATATTAAACATGTCCTGATATATAGCTTGTCCTGCACACCCATCATGTGCCCGTCATTATCTTTTTATGGCTTGGCAAGCTTATAGTGCAGGTTGCAAATTGTCATATGGAGCAACTCCTCAAAAATATTAAAGATCCTCTGCAGTGAATGGGTGCCGTCAGAATGAGAGTTCAAACAGCTGATAAAAACGTCACAATAATCCACAAGTAACTCCAGTCCATCAATTAACATCTTGAGAAACCAAAAGCTGCACGTTTGTAAGAAACATCATTAAAATGTTTTTAACTTTAAATCATCACTTCTAGACAAAATATCCATAATAACGCTTCCTGCAGTAAAAAAGTCCATCTCCTGTTGTCCTCCCACATATTTGTTTAGAGCTGTTTTCAATTGTTTTCACTTCTAAATGGTGTTTGATCTGCGCATATTTCGCTTTATAATATTCTCTTCTCTAATTTTTCACTGAAGGAAGCAATATAATGGATAGAGGACACATATTTTATCCGGAAGTGATGGTTTTAAGAAAGAAAAAAATGTCCTATTGATGAATTTATTACAAATATGCAGCTTTTTACTTCACAAGACATTAACTGATGGACTGGAGTGGTGTGGATTACTTGTGTATTATTGTGATGTTTTTATCAGCTGTTTGGACTCTCATTCTGACGGCACCCATTCACTGCAGAGGATTCATTGACGAGCAAGTGATGCAATGCTACATTTCTCCAAATCTGATAAAGAAACAAACTCATCTACATCTTGGATGAGCTGAGGGTGAGTACATTTTTCGCAAATTGTCATTTTTGTATGAACTATTCCTTTAATGCATTAATAATTTATAATATTTTTTATGTTAAAACTATGTTCACTTTTGGAAAAATGAAATATTTAACATGCATACTGACATCTATTCAAGGTAGGTAAGAAACATATGGTATTGCTTCTTGAGGATTACACCACATTTTTAGTCATTTAATTGAACCTTTTCTTAAATGAAACCAACATTAGTACAAAGATTACATTTGTAAGAACTTGGCTCTTGTGTTTTAAACTTGTTTTTTCAAAGTTTTATTTTCTTTATTGTGGAAACTCCTATTTGACCTCCTTGGGAGCAGGTGGTGGATAGGAAGGGTTTAATAATATGCACACTGATATCAGCCAAAAGGAAAGTAATTTGAAAGGCAGACCAAGTTATTACATTTTGAAAAAGGATTATGAAGTCAAACATTTATTATTATTTTTTGGAATAACATACACTAATCAATCGTGCACAGTAAGACCAGAAACAAGTGAAACTGAGAAAGTAAATAGGGTCAATTTTTATTGTAGAAAAAATACTGGCCAACCATTACTCATTTTGACTGAAAAAAAGAAAAAGCGAAACCCAGACTATTTATGATGGAATGAACACTTGTCACTGTGTGAGTAACATGCGCAGCAGACCTATCACAGAAGTAATATGGTGTTGCTAAGAGACATGGCAAATGTCAGCTGGCTGCCTCATCATCATCCTGTTGCTTGCTATCCGGCTCCTTCTGCCCGGCCGCCGTTAATTAACACCTGGATTCTCTTCGGATGAATCAGTTCTGCTGGAGCTCTGCGGTTGCCAGGTGCCTGAAGAGTGACAAGCATTTGCTGAAGGTGGTTAAAAGCACCATTTCCTTAGTGCCCATTTACACCCGTTTATATTATGCTGTTTCTGTTTGATTTGAAACACACTGAGGAATTCATAAATTCAGCCCTTTTGTTATGCTGTGATAAGAGTATTGTCCGAGTATTCACCGCCATGTTGTTAGGGTGTTGTGGTTTATTGCCAGGGCATCACTATGTGGTTGCTATATGGTTTTAGCATGTTTCTATGTGGTTACTTTGGTATTTGTATTGTTTGCCTGAACAAAACTCATTGCTATGATGTTTGTGTCAAAACCATGCTATGTGGTTGCTAGGTATTCTGAGTCATTTTCAGTGTGTGATTGGTAGAATGGTTGCTAGAATGTTCTGGATGGTTGCTAGGGCATTGCTAGGTGGTTTTGTAAATGTATTGTAGTATTATTTGTACAAAACTCATAGGCCGTGAGGCTTCTGTCAACACAACCACACTATGTGGTTAGTAGGTGCTCTGGGTTGTTGTTAAGGTGTCATTTTGTGGTTGCTATGGTGTTGCTAGGTAGTTGTTAAGCATAAGTTGTTATGCTGTTGTTTTAGATGTTCTGAGTAACGCCCAAAACACACTGCATGATTTTCGGCTGTCCCAGACGAAAGATTGGGTTCGTGAAACAATCGAGGTGATTTCTGTGATCGTGGCGCCTAATCGATGATCCTGTGTCGTACAGTGAAAGAGGTTCAAAGACGGCCGTTGTCACAGTCTTGCGACCAAAGCCTACGATACAGCATGATCATGGCACAGTGTGTTTGCTGCTACGATCCACGTTTACTGACCTACCAATAAAAATGCGACATGAAATCAACGCGACATGGCACTAAAACATAAAACTGCTTACCACAAGCTCTTATCTCTTCCTCTTTCGCTGCTTCCACTTTTTTCAGCACACATAAAAACTACCAACACATTCTTACTCCCAACTCGTCACATATTGACACTTGGTCAGGACCCCTTGGCGTCGCTTTTTGACGCTCAAGGTACCCCTTTAGCGCCATTTTTCGATGTGCAGGGTCCTCCATTGTTTTCAGTTGTTTGTCTTAATTTAATAGTTTGCATGCATTTGTAAAAAATAGAAATAATTTTATACTTTTATTGGAGCACCTAACACCACCCCTACCCTAAACCTACCCACTTCTGAACAATATAAAACACGTAACAGGCAAATAAGTGCAGTCACAGGTATTTATTGCAAAAACTGACCATAAACAAGCAGTATAAAAGCATTACAAACAAGTCGTGTTGCATTCCAATTCTTCTGAAGCCATACGATGTCTTTATGCGAAGAAAAGTAAAACATAAGGTTTTATTCGCTGAAAATGATCCCGCTCCGTTAACGCGCTCACATCTCATTCAAAAAGATACTCTTGTCCTGTAGAATGACACAATCGGTCACGAGCCATACAAGAGCCAATAGCATTTCACAACCAAGGCTGACGTAAGGCTTCTTCTGACGGCATTCTTTAAAGGGGTCATATGATGCGATTTCAATTTTTCCTTTCGCTTTGGAGTGTTACAAGCTCTTGGTGCATAAAGAAGATCTGTAAAGTTGCAAAGACTAAAGTCTCAAATCCAAGAGATATTCTTTATAAAAGTTAAGAGTCAACCACGCCTACCTAAAACGGCTCGTTCTAACACGCCCCCACATATCATTTGCGCACAGACTGCAGCACACAGGATGAGCTTTAAGGCGGACGGAGACGACGATCGCGTTTATTCCTCTCACAAATCAATCGTTTTGCCTCGGATGACTTGGAATATTAATACTTTTTGAATAAATGATGACGGTAGTTGTATCTGCCTGTTATATCTTTGAGATATCTTTATTGACAAACGGTAGGTTTAGGGGCAGGGGTTGGGTTACGTGCTCATAAATGTGTAAATAGTGTAATATAAATAAAACAGTTGTGACTGTTGAAAAATCATTGAAAAATCACACCCCAACATATATGCGATAATGGCAATATTATTACCCAATATATAATTTAATCATGGCGATAAAATTCCCATTACCTTTCGCATCGGCATATTGACGCCAAAGGTTTCTTATTTAAAGCAATGGAGGACCCTGCACGTCGAAAGATGACGCCAAGGGGTCCTGAGCAAGCGTCAATATGTGACGAGTTGGGAGTAAGAAGGTGTTAAAACTACTGCAGCTAAAGTGTGAATTATCACGCTCTTTTTGTTTACCACTAGCGCATGCTGCGTTTTATTCCTCTATAGTAACGTGTGTCATAGCCTGCGAGTCAATAGTTAGAGTCATCGTACAGTCTACACATCGTAGCCAAGTTTATTAGATCCATGTCGCACAGTGTGACATGCAATAATCTTATAGGATTGCTAAAATCATGTAGTGTGTCTCGGGCTTTACATGTTTCTGTGATTGTTAGGCTAATGTGTTGTGGGTGGTTGCTGGAATGTTCTGAATGGTTGCTAGGGCATTGCTAGGTGGTTTTGTAATGTATTTTAGTATTGTTTGTACAAAGCTCACAGGCTGTGAGGTTTCTATCAACACAATCACACTATGTGGTTCGTAGGTGCTCTAGGTGGTTGTTTGAGTATCGCTGTGTGGTTGCTAGGGTGTTGCTAGGTGGTTGCCATGGTATCGCTATGCAGTTGTTATAGATGTTCTGAGTAACATGTTTCTATGTGATTGTTAATGTGTGGTGTTTGGTTGCTAGAGTGTTCTGGACGGTTGCTAGGTGTTCTGAGTCATTTTCAGCATGTGATTGCTAGAATGGTTGCTAGAATGTTCTTGATGGTTGCTAGGGTGTTGTTAGGTGGTTGCTAAGGTATGATTTTATTGTTACACTGTACACATCTCATTACCTTGATGTTTCTATGTGGTTTTCATGGCATTGATTGCAGTGTGGTTTGCAAGGTGTTCAGTGTTGCTATGTGGTTGCTAAGAGACTGCTAGGTGGTTCCCAGGGCATTGCTATGTAGTTACTATATGAAATTAGTTTTTCTGAGGTTAACATGTTCAAGGATTTTGCTAGGGCATCTCTATGTGGTTCCTAGGGTGTTCTGGAAGTTGCATTAGCATTGTTAGGTGGTTCCTTGGGGTTAGTGGGTGGTTGGCATGGCGTTGTTATGGTGTTGCTAGGTGTATTTAGTTGTTTTTTTAAAATGCTGCTATGTGGTTTTCAGGGCTTCGCTATGCAGCTGCTATTTGCTCCGAGACATTTTTAGCATGTTGCTGTGTAGCTGTTTAGGTGTTCTAGATGGTTGCTAGGTTTTTATGGATGCATCTAGGTGAATGCTAGATTGTTGTATTATTGTTTGCCTTTCCAAAACTCACTGCCCTGATATTTGGGTGTTCTAGGTGGTTTCCAGGGCATCAGTATGTGGTTTCCAGGTGTTATAGGTGGTTGTTTGTGTCACTACTGCTAGGTAGTTGCCATGCATCTGGGATGTATTCTGTACAGTGGCCCACAACACAACAAATTTTCCAAAACACAACGGAAACATGCCACAACACAACGGAAACATGCCACAACACAACGGAAACATGCCACAACACAACGGAAACATGCCACAACACAACGGAAACATGCCACAACACAACGGAAACATGCCACAACACAACGGAAACATGCCACAACACAACGGAAACATGCCACAACACAACGGAAACATGCCACAACACAACGGAAACATGCCACAACACAACGGAAACATGCCACAACACAACGGAAACATGCCACAACACAACGGAAACATGCCACAACACAACGGAAACATGCCACAACACAACGGAAACATGCCACAACACAACGGAAACATGCCACAACACAACGGAAACATGCCACAACACAACGGAAACATGCCACAACACAACGGAAACATGCCACAACACAACGGAAACATGCCACAACACAACGGAAACATGCCACAACACAACGGAAACATGCCACAACACAACGGAAACATGCCACAACACAACGGAAACATGCCACAACACAACGGAAACATGCCACAACACAACGGAAACATGCCACAACACAACGGAAACATGCCACAACACAACGGAAACATGCCACAACACAACGGAAACATGCCACAACACAACGGAAACATGCCACAACACAACGGAAACATGCCACAACACAACGGAAACATGCCACAACACAACGGAAACATGCCACAACACAACGGAAACATGCCACAACACAACGGAAACATGCCACAACACAACGGAAACATGCCACAACACAACGGAAACATGCCACAACACAACGGAAACATGCCACAACACAACGGAAACATGCCACAACACAACGGAAACATGCCACAACACAACGGAAACATGCCACAACACAACGGAAACATGCCACAACACAACGGAAACATGCCACAACACAACGGAAACATGCCACAACACAACGGAAACATGCCACAACACAACGGAAACATGCCACAACACAACGGAAACATGCCACAACACAACGGAAACATGCCACAACACAACGGAAACATGCCACAACACAACGGAAACATGCCACAACACAACGGAAACATGCCACAACACAACGGAAACATGCCACAACACAACGGAAACATGCCACAACACAACGGAAACATGCCACAACACAACGGAAACATGCCACAACACAACGGAAACATGCCACAACACAACGGAAACATGCCACAACACAACGGAAACATGCCACAACACAACGGAAACATGCCACAACACAACGGAAACATGCCACAACACAACGGAAACATGCCACAACACAACGGAAACATGCCACAACACAACGGAAACATGCCACAACACAACGGAAACATGCCACAACACAACGGAAACATGCCACAACACAACGGAAACATGCCACAACACAACGGAAACATGCCACAACACAACGGAAACATGCCACAACACAACGGAAACATGCCACAACACAACGGAAACATGCCACAACACAACGGAAACAAGCCACAACACAACGAAATTAGCGCAACACAACGGAAACAAGCCACAACACAAGGAAAATAGCACAACACAATGGAAACAAGCCACACCACAAATCAAAATTAGCGCAACACAACGGAAACAAGCCACAACACAAACAAATCTCCACAACACAATGGAACAAGCCACAACACAAACAGATCTCCACAACACAATGGAACAAGCCACAACACAAACAGATCTCCACAACACAATGGAACAAGCCACAACACAAACAGATCTCCACAACACAATGGAACAAGCCACAACACAAACAGATCTCCACAACACAATGGAACAAGCCACAACACAAACAGATCTCCACAACACAATGGAACAAGCCACAACACAAACAGATCTCCACAACACAATGGAACAAGCCACAACACAAACAGATCTCCACAACACAATGGAACAAGCCACAACACAAACAGATCTCCACAACACAATGGAACAAGCCACAACACAAACAGATCTCCACAACACAATGGAACAAGCCACAACACAAACAGATCTCCACAACACAATGGAACAAGCCACAACACAAACAGATCTCCACAACACAATGGAACAAGCCACAACACAAACAGATCTCCACAACACAATGGAACAAGCCACAACACAAACAGATCTCCACAACACAATGGAACAAGCCACAACACAAACAGATCTCCACAACACAATGGAACAAGCCACAACACAAACAGATCTCCACAACACAATGGAACAAGCCACAACACAAACAGATCTCCACAACACAATGGAACAAGCCACAACACAAACAGATCTCCACAACACAATGGAACAAGCCACAACACAAACAGATCTCCACAACACAATGGAACAAGCCACAACACAAACAGATCTCCACAACACAATGGAACAAGCCACAACACAAACAGATCTCCACAACACAATGGAACAAGCCACAACACAAACAGATCTCCACAACACAATGGAACAAGCCACAACACAAACAGATCTCCACAACACAATGGAACAAGCCACAACACAAACAGATCTCCACAACACAATGGAACAAGCCACAACACAAACAGATCTCCACAACACAATGGAACAAGCCACAACACAAACAGATCTCCACAACACAATGGAACAAGCCACAACACAAACAGATCTCCACAACACAATGGAACAAGCCACAACACAAACAGATCTCCACAACACAATGGAACAAGCCACAACACAAACAGATCTCCACAACACAATGGAACAAGCCACAACACAAACAGATCTCCACAACACAATGGAACAAGCCACAACACAAACAGATCTCCACAACACAATGGAACAAGCCACAACACAAACAGATCTCCACAACACAATGGAACAAGCCACAACACAAACAGATCTCCACAACACAATGGAACAAGCCACAACACAAACAGATCTCCACAACACAATGGAACAAGCCACAACACAAACAGATCTCCACAACACAATGGAACAAGCCACAACACAAACAGATCTCCACAACACAATGGAACAAGCCACAACACAAACAGATCTCCACAACACAATGGAACAAGCCACAACACAAACAGATCTCCACAACACAATGGAACAAGCCACAACACAAACAGATCTCCACAACACAATGGAACAAGCCACAACACAAACAGATCTCCACAACACAATGGAACAAGCCACAACACAAACAGATCTCCACAACACAATGGAACAAGCCACAACACAAACAGATCTCCACAACACAATGGAACAAGCCACAACACAAACAGATCTCCACAACACAATGGAACAAGCCACAACACAAACAGATCTCCACAACACAATGGAACAAGCCACAACACAAACAGATCTCCACAACACAATGGAACAAGCCACAACACAAACAGATCTCCACAACACAATGGAACAAGCCACAACACAAACAGATCTCCACAACACAATGGAACAAGCCACAACACAAACAGATCTCCACAACACAATGGAACAAGCCACAACACAAACAGATCTCCACAACACAATGGAACAAGCCACAACACAAACAGATCTCCACAACACAATGGAACAAGCCACAACACAAACAGATCTCCACAACACAATGGAACAAGCCACAACACAAACAGATCTCCACAACACAATGGAACAAGCCACAACACAAACAGATCTCCACAACACAATGGAACAAGCCACAACACAAACAGATCTCCACAACACAATGGAACAAGCCACAACACAAACAGATCTCCACAACACAATGGAACAAGCCACAACACAAACAGATCTCCACAACACAATGGAACAAGCCACAACACAAACAGATCTCCACAACACAATGGAACAAGCCACAACACAAACAGATCTCCACAACACAATGGAACAAGCCACAACACAAACAGATCTCCACAACACAATGGAACAAGCCACAACACAAACAGATCTCCACAACACAATGGAACAAGCCACAACACAAACAGATCTCCACAACACAATGGAACAAGCCACAACACAAACAGATCTCCACAACACAATGGAACAAGCCACAACACAAACAGATCTCCACAACACAATGGAACAAGCCACAACACAAACAGATCTCCACAACACAATGGAACAAGCCACAACACAAACAGATCTCCACAACACAATGGAACAAGCCACAACACAAACAGATCTCCACAACACAATGGAACAAGCCACAACACAAACAGATCTCCACAACACAATGGAACAAGCCACAACACAAACAGATCTCCACAACACAATGGAACAAGCCACAACACAAACAGATCTCCACAACACAATGGAACAAGCCACAACACAAACAGATCTCCACAACACAATGGAACAAGCCACAACACAAACAAATCTCCACAACACAATGGAAACAAGCCACAACACAAACATATCTCCACAGCACAATGGAAACAAGCCACAACACAAACAAATCTCTACTACACAATGGAAACAAGCCACAACACAAACATATCTCCACAACACAATGGAAACAAGCCACAACACAATGAAATTAGCACAACACAGCGGAAACAAGCCACAACGAAATTAGCACAACACAACAGAAACAAGTCACAACACAATGAAATTAGTGCTATGCGTTGTGGCAATTTGGTTGTGTTGTGCACTACTGCGCCACTGTAATTCTGAGTGGTTTTTAAGTTATTTCTACTGGGCCCAGACAAAACAGCAAAGTCTACAATGATATTGTTGTGTATAGATTAGAGCCCGACCGATATATCGTTTTGCCGATATCATCGGCCGATATGAGCCTCTTAAGTCTATGGAAAACCATTGAAACTTTGAACAGCCATATCTTCGTAACGGCACGAATCCGCACCAAATTCGGGGGATCCCTTCAGCTCGAGGATCGCCGACCGATCAAGCGATCCCGGGGGGCTACCGACGCGCAGAGGGTGGCGTTCGAGAGGGCTCCTCGAGCTGAAGGGATCCCCCGAATTTGGGTTACAGTCTCTGACAGACAGTATGTGGAAGCTGCTCAGGTCGCCATTTTCTCCTCTCAGAAAGCAATGATGTAGACAAAACATCTGGTTAAGTGGGGTTTTCAGGAAATGTGTGTATACTCCCTGGACCTCTGCTTCTAGTAAATACTGCCGTGTATTGTGCACGTTATATTTTGACAGACATTAATGCTGTTATATTTAAATAACGTGGATTTGAAACAGATGGATCGCAAGGTAATTGTTATGTATTTATTAGTATTCAGTAAAGTGATTGATGTACATGAGTGTGTTATGTCAATGTTTTTTTTCTTCTTCAAACAAAATAACCGTTTTTGACGGATGTGATAATGTGCCTGTGGGGGGAACTGTTTGATTTTTGTGTATTATAAAATGTGCTGGAGATGTCTGAAATGCTATTTGCATAGTTCATTATTACTATTATTTTACAAAATTAAGTTTATTTTGAGGCTTAGATATATTACATATTACTCAGAGATATGTTTGGCTTGTCAAAAATGTTGCACATTTATTGACTTTTGAAAATCAAGTTCGTTTTTACCAGGAAAGGAGTGGTTTTGATGCACAAAGTTGTTTTTATTGTCTCTAATAGCAAAAATAATTTATGTAAACCCATGAAAATGCAAATCCTGTTGTAAATAATAGTGAAAAAGCACTTTTTAAAACTGTACTCCGTTATTACCCCTTAGCAAAAAAAAAAATATACACACAAACACAGTATATACTGGTTTCAGTGTTGTTGTTTTAACCCCTTAGCAGATTTTAGATAGAAACACACAACATATTGATCCAAACTGATTTGAATAAAGAAGCTTGATTGATTTGACCATTGTACCAATTATTTTAATGTACATTATTATATGTAAGAAATCAATTTAAATGCTAACAATCCCCCAAATCAAGTTGTTCAGCATGGAAACTTACATTTATGCCTCCTCAAATATTGATTTTGCTGACTAAGTGTCCTTTAAACTTCTAGAATCATGAATCACAGTTATATGCAGGGGCCTTGGAGTCAAAAAAAAAAGGTTGAGAACCTTAAAGAAACTTTGGTATCATTGATTCTGTGATTTCACTGTTGTAATTTGTCGTTTATGATTATTACTGATTTTTTTCTGTCAAATATGCAATTTACAACACTGCACCACAGTAAACACTATAGAATACAATACACAGTTTGGAAAGCAGAGCAGTAATTTATTACAGTTTAATCTGAGACTGGATTTCATCGACTTGACAGTTTTAGCACTTGAGGAGTAGGACAAACTAGCTCTAAAAATAGTCTAGAGTGGACTGATGTTACAAAAACCAGAGCCCAACCAACATCTTGCCTTTCTAAGAAGTGTGATGGAAATAATGTGAAAATACTGAGGTGATAATATCGGGTCTGCAAGTAAGCTCTATTTGATCATGTAAAATTCTCTATACCATGTTATTGATTTCGGATGAGAGTCTGCTAATCTTTCAGACTTTTTCTTTTGTTTTGTGAAAGATTAATCTGTTAACTGTGGGGAAATGCAGCAGTGTCTGTGTTATGACTTATTGAAATTTAAATATCATGCTTGCACATGTTTTCCTGAAAGAAGAACAGTTTTCCCTAAAGTTTGTTATTTTCTGTTCAACCCTGTTATGCTGTGACATTACCACCTATGTTTATGATATTATATTTAGATAGTGACATAAAAGTTGTTTTGATCACATGGTTGAAATAGTAGAGAAATGTCATCATTTACATCATTTACTTTCAAACCTATTCTACTTTCTTGGGACATATATATATATTCAGAAATCTATCAGTTTTCCCATACAACTCTAGCAAAAAAGAGCTGTTTTTTAACCAGAAAAGCTATAACCAATAAACCAATAAAAGCGGTTTAGTAACCATAATTCTTCAAAATGTCTTCTTTTGTGCTCCAAAGAAAGTAAGTCACATAACGACACGTGAGGGTGAGTAAATGAATACAGTTTTTTTTTATATTTGGGTGAACCTTTAAGTTCTTTTCAATTGTTACAAACCACCACATTTTACTCATAAATCTGAAAAACAGCCAATCTAAAAACCATACATTCTTGGGGGAACATATGACGAATTCTTCTTGGGGTAACTAAAACTCGCGCTTAAGGCTATATTGTTTAAGCAAACATGCGTGCGTTGCGTGAGACAAACCCCCTTTTTTTCATTGAACATTTTCATTGTACGTTTAAAATACCTTTAAAAGCCTAAGTTCCTTTAAAATACTCAGCCCCCTTAAACTGTTTGTTTAACACACACACACACACACACACACACACACACACACACGCACACTGA